GTTCGGGCCGGGCCCCGCGGTTCGGGCCCACAGCCCGCCGGGAGCCGCGGTTCGGGCCCCGCGGTTCGGGCCGGGCCCGGGCGCCGCCGCCCCCTCAGGCTCGGGACTCGCGCTCGCCCCCTGCTGGCGCGGGGCCGGGAGCGTGAGGGAGAATTGAAGGTCCCGCTGCAAAACGTCGGACGCGTAAAAAAATTTTCTAAAACGTAAAAATAGTGAAAAGTTTTGGTAGCCGTCGTGCTGGCTACGTGGATTTGTCAACCGGCGCCCCCCCCCCCTTTCTTTCTGCGTAGAGCTGTAAATAAATAAAATACCTCGACCCTGTGGGTGGATCGGCCTCTTGCACGCCGGGTGAAAGAACCTATTTCCCCTCTCCCTTTAAAGACGAAAACTAATAGTTTTTTAGCAGTAGCTAGTGATAAACGTTTGTGCCATCTGGGCAAGATATTTAAATTTAAAAGAGTCTATAGTGTTACATATATATAGATATAAAAAGTAACTGTACGTTTGCATTCCTAGTGAGATGCTGCACTATGTAACTATGTAACTTTTATTTTCAAATTTGAAAGTACTTTATATCAATTTTAGGATGTTTTTCATCTCTTATATGACCCAAGTTTTGTCATGTTTTTATAACGTGTTTAGATGCGATGCTGTTACGTGCTTGCACCAAAGATGTTAATAAAAGACGTTTGTGAAAGCAAACAGCATTGCTGAAGGTTCTGCTGTTACAGGTACCTTTGAAGAGCTTGTTTCTACCACATTGCACAATACTGGACTGCAGCTCTTGATGGCTGTTGAGCCTCTGCTGGTTTCTGTTCAGAAAACAGCAGTCCAGAGAAGCAGTAAGCAACTCCTTTGAAAGCATAATGCTGATTTTAGTGATGATAATGGAAGGACAGCCAATTCCATTGTAAATTGAGATAAAGCTTTCTAGGATTGCAATCAGATACACCTGAGCAGAGAACATATGGGTTGGGTATTGCTAATAATTTACTATTCAACATTAAAAGTTGTTTCACTGTAGGGGCAGGGAAAAGATTTGATCCAAGTCATAAAATTGTTGGCAGTCATAAAATTCTTCTCTTTAAAAATGACCTGGTCATTTTGTAATTGGTCTTGTTTTGCTATAGTTGTGTACAATTAAATGCTGTCTAGCAGAATCCCAGTGATTGGCTTTTGCTTTGTATTTATGGTAAGCTGGTCTCACTCTCTCAAATATTCATGTGTATAGCAAATTTTGAGTTATGCTGTTATAGAATAATATTTCTGTTCCAAGTACATGCAGTAGAAGTTCTTTAGAGCGCAGGGCTGTCATACAGCAATTTGCACTTTGCAGATCACTCAGTTGGGTTGAGTAAGATGGAGTGTGTAGCAGAAATGAAATGGTTTATGCTAGCATTTGGTGTTCCAAGCCCAAGAGAAGGTGGATGTGAAAATTCATTCTTGGGAATGGAGCCGTGGGCTTGTGCTTGTGTGAACACACTTGTCCAGGGCACTGGGATCTGGTTCAAACTCCAGTTACCCTCATGTCCAGGGATGCAGGGTCTGAGGGACTGGATTTCCCTGTGGGTTTGCAGTGACAGTTTGGGGTGGCTTTTTTTCATTTCAATCCTTGCTAGAATGAGCAAGAGCCCAAAACACTGCAGCATCACCAAAGTGTGTCAGGACAAGGAAATGCAAAAGCCAAGGAGCTTCTCCCCCTTGGAGTTCCCTTGGAGCCCCTTTTGGCTCCAAATTCCTGGGCAGAGATAAGGAGAGGAGTGACCACAGCCCTGTGTCCCTGCAGAATCCATCTCCTGTAGAGTCCCTTTCCTTCAAAGGAATTTGAGGAGGACACAGGGAATGCTGGTGGCAAACCCCCTGAATCCATCCTTTTATTTCACCCAGGTTTGTTAAGACATAAATGCCCTGAATGTGATTTTTCTAAGAATAATCTTGACTTATGCAACTAATCCAATTTGTATTTTGGTTGAGCTTTTTTTGAGCACTGGTCCCAGCCTGGGCAGGGTCTGAACACTGAAAGCTCATCCAGTTCCACCCCTGCCATGGGCAGGGACACTTTCCACTATCCCAGGTTGCTCCAACCTGACCTTGGGCTCTGGCAGGGCTGTGGTAGCACAGAGCAACCCGGTGTCTGCAGCATTCATGGGGCAAACCCAGCCCTGCAGCACCTGAGGAGTCACTGAAAACCCCTTGTTTTTACTAAAAACCACTAAATGCCTCTTTTGCTGTGGTGCTGTGCCACCCCTGAGTCCAGCTGTGCAGAGCAGGCGTTCAGCTCCAAAGCTTGTTCCTCCTGTGGAGCTGCTGCCTGTGCTTGTCCCTGACTTGGAAAAACCCTTCCCAGATCAACCAAGGACTCTAAGGACTGATCCCTGCTGCTTTTTTCAGATCCCTGCTGCTTTTTTCCCCAAGACAGGAACTGGAATTGTGCATTTTTGCCATTTACTCCTCAGCAGTAACAGAACTGTCCTTGTCAAGCCCTCGCTGTGTGAGTGGGTTCCACACACAGCACTGCACTGCCTGCGACTGAGGGACCTCTGGCTGCCACTCAGAGTAATTCCCTGCTCTTTCCAGCCAAGGATTCATGGATGGATGGGATGGATGAATGGATGCAGGTGCTGAAAAGCCACCCCTGGGGGGTACAATGTGCTCCAGCACAGTGGGCTGTGCAGAGTGTTTGTACATGTAAAGAATTTGCCTGAGCTTTCCTACATCTGAAAATATATTCTATTTTATAGGTGCAGCAACTTATTTCTCTCTGTGTTTAACTTTCTATTCTATTTTTCTATTTCTAATTTTCTGCAGGGGCTCTGGTGATCTGTAACCTCTGGAGCCACTCAGAGGAAGGACATTTGTCCTCTGAGGATTGCCCTGTTTGGAAGTGGAGGCAGCTCTGTTGGATCCAGGCCTGGATGCTTCTCCCTTGCTTTGCTCCCAACTTGCTGTTTGACTTCAGCCACAGGGGTTCACCTTCAAGGGTGTCTTACACCCACAGTCCTTCCATCTCCCACTACCTGGGAGAGGGACAGCCCTTCACCTCCCTCTGTTTCCACCCTGTTGCTCTTTGATTCCTCTCTCAGATTCCTCTTTTGGGGCCCTGCCTTAAACAAAACAACCAAAATGGACATGGTTGTGCCACATCTCTCTGTTGCTGAAGCC